GATGTCACAAACTTATTGGAAGATTCCGACGAGAAAGTATGCAAGTTGGGAAAGCGTTTGGAAAGTCTGTGTGAAGGAAAATAAGATGAGAGTGCAAAAGAAAACAGTGATAAGAAAAGCGTTAAGTAGGGAAAAATGATGCGTCGGAGGCGTGGAAGGAAAAAGGGAGGATGAGAGACTGGAGGGCAAATCGGAAGGAGTATGGAGGATATGGTTGAATTTGAGTGGATGTATCGACAGGTGGGTATATGAACGCTGACCTGAGTCACAATATAAGAGGAAAAGTTGCAGATTCTCTGAAATATGCAAAAAAGTTAGTAAAAAAAAATGCATGGAGTGTGCGTGTGTGAAAACAGCGCGCATATAATATATTATATATATAATATATATATATATATATATATATATATATATATATATATATATATATATATATATATATATATATATATAATTTACATCTGAGCTTCCTGCAAGGGCTGGTAAGTCAACAAGCTCCTCCAACCTCTCTCACCGAAATTGAAATCCAAGTTGAGCTTAATTTTAGCTTCTTGTGGACACTGCGACGTAATGATGGCGCAGTAGCAGCCAAAGACACACACAACTCCGTCTCATCCATAACTCTGCTCGGATTGATTACCAAGAGAAATCTCGTCTTGTCCCGTTCACCAGCAGCATCCGGTAAGTTGTGATGTCTTGTTTCGTTACCGGTTTAGTGGAGGTGCTCCAGGGAGAGCTGGTGGAGGTGCTCCAGGGAGAGCTGGTGGAGGTGCTCCAGGGAGAGCTGGTGGAGGTGCTCCAGGGAGAGCTGGTGGATGGGAGGGAGAGACGGGGAAAGAAAGGCGTTGAGGAAGAGAAAATAAAAAAAAGTGGGGGAAGAGGAAAAAATGAAGAAGGGGGAAGGGAGAGGGAAAGAAGGAAAGACAAAGTGAGAAGTGGTGTCGTTATTTGCGAACATAATCACTGTGACGATGAACATACATGTTGAACGTTGAATTAAACAGCGTGCATAGAATTATTCAGAGTGGAAGCACACAGATAAAATATTTAAGTTAAATGAAAAGAAGGAAAGCCATGAAAACAAGGAAAGAATGAAAGGCATGAGAGGGAGAGAGGGAGAGAGAGAGAGAGAGAGAGAGAGCGCAGGGGGGGATAGTGGATGTGAAGCAATGAGCTCGCAGACTGAGGACGTGGCACATTACGCCCGAGGAACACAATGTTCTTTTCTTTTCAGGAGTTCCTACCACCCTTCCTCCCTCCCCCTCCCCCACTACCCCCTACCTCCCTTCAGCACCGAGGGGAAACTTGAGGCACTAGTAGAGTACATGAAGAGTACTGCCAGCTTTTTCCTTCCTTCTTTATACACAGTCTCAGTCAGTCAGTCAGTCTGTCTGTCTGTCTCACACACACACACACACACACACACGTACGTCTTCATGTAAAAAACTCTAAATGGAAACTGTTTTGACGTGTTTCCGGGCGTTCATTTCTCAACGCTTCACATGATGCAACAAAATATTAAACGGATCTACCAGTAATTATTAATTAGTTGAAAATAATACGCTTGTTATGTACGGTGTGAGGACAGGATGCCCACTCAGAACCAGCTGGATCAACCACCTGTCTGAATCGATATATTAAAGCTGCTGCCGCCATTTTTAAAAATTTAAATTTTCAAAAAAAAAAAAAAAAAAAAAGGTACCTTGATGCAATTACATATTATCATGGGAGCGCTAAAACCGTAGATGGGATGGAAGGTATTCAGGCTTAATTAAAAAAACTGGAGCTCAGATCCAGTTCTCTAGATCAAGAGCTCTTTCACCAGCATCAAGGACCCTCCCTTGAAGGGACCTTGATGAAAAAAAGGCTCTTGCTCCAAGGAATTGGAGCAACCCTTTTCATCCATGGATCCGTCCTGATTACACCCCCACTTCCAAAGTGTTGCATGACACCCCCCCCCACTTCCCAGATATTGCATGACCCCCACTTCTCAGGTACTGCATGACGCCCCCCACTTCCCAGGTGTTGCATGACCCCCCCACTTCCCAGGTGTTGCATGACCCCCCCACTTCCCAGGTGTTGCATGACCCCCCACTTCCCAGGTGTTGCACGACACCCCCCCACTTCCCAGGTGTTGCATGACCCCCCCCCACTTCCCAGGTGTTGCACGACACCCCCCACTTCCCAGGTGTTGCATGACCCCCCCACTTCCCAGGTGTTGCACGACACCCCCCCCCACTTCCCAGGTGTTGCATGACCACCCCCTCCTGGGTTGTCAGTTTTTCACCGTGAAGATAACACCATTAAGTGTCTCCTGCACGAAACTGTGCGACCCTTACGAGTTTAGCGCTTACCCTTGAGTTTATGAATAATACTGGCCATGCAGAAAGCCGAGGCCTGAAGGCGGGACGGGCAGGAGGACAGGACAGCTGTCTTCACCAGCTGTCTGTGTGAGACTCCCAATTTTCTCTACTCAATACTTCAAGCTTCCTGGCATTTGTCTTCAATACCTCAAGCTTCCTGGCGTACATGTCCTCAGTGCTTCAAGCTTCCTGGCGTACATGTCCTTAGTGTTTCAAGCTACCTAGTGTACGTGTCTTCAATACCTGAAGCTTCCTGGCGTACATGTCCTTAGTGTTTCAAGCTTCCTAGCTTACGTGTCCTCAATATCTGAAGCTTCCTAGCATACGTGTCCTCGAGACAACAACGCAGGGCATCACACCTCATCTTGCCCATATATATATACCTACGACGGGTTTGTGCTGCTTTTCTGGTCAATATTTATTATACTAAATAAACATCTCTGGCTAAAGAACATCCCCCATGAATTAATTGGGTTTCATTTTCGAAGGAAAAAATCCAGAAATTACAAAAATCTAACGGCATGAAAAGTGAGATTTTTCTATCGATATGTTAGGCGGTGCGAAGGCAGAATCGGGCGAGAGAATAAGAATTTTGGGGGGTTGGCTTGGCGGGTATAAATGGCCGGTCCAGATTGCTACAAGTTTGATGAAGGGAATTGTCATGACAGACGGGCAAAGATGGCAGCCATTGGGGAAACGACCATGGTGGAAGAGAGGGAAGGAGGGAGGGGAGGGAAGGAGGGAAGGGAGGGACAGAGGGAGAGGGAAGGAGGGAGAGGGAAGGAGGGAGAGGGAAGGAGGGAGAGGGAAGGAGGGAGAGGGGGGAGAGAGAGAGAGAGAGGGAGAAAGAGAGGGAGAAAGAGAGAAAGGGAAAAGAGAGGGAAAGAGGGAGAAAGAGGGAGAAAGAGGGAGAAAGAGAGAGAGAGAGAGAGAGAGAGAGAGAAGAGAGAGAGAGAGAGAGAGAGAGAAAGGTGAGGGGACAGTCTGCAGAAGAAAACAGAAAAGGTTAAGAGGGGCTGGTAGATGAGGATAAAACCAGATAATGAGAGTCAAGAAGAACAGACGGAAGAGGAAGTACTATAGGAAGAAGACGAACAGAGGAATAAGAATAGAAGGAAGAATAAAAGTAAGAACAAGGCGATGAGAAAGAGAGGAAAAGAACAAGAAGTAATTTTCTTTATCAAACTGGATCAGTATAATGTATTCAACGAAAGTAACACAAATTGTGTTTTCAGTTAGTTTGCGAAAAGACGTTTTATTCTCCTCTCTTATATTTGGTGATACTTAACAAGTTGTGTATTGTTCTCCCTGTTGTCGACGCTCAACTTGGTCATCTTCCTTCTATCGACCAATCACACTGTTAGTGTCTTCCATTTTTAACCCTAAGTCAATTTATTTTGTATATGAACTATATCTTAACTCGAAAATTATTCATTTTGAAATTAAGACACATGTGCAACATCGGGGTATCTTTATTGTAGACGTTTCGCCATCCAGTGGCTTTATCAATACAAATTCCAGGACATAACTTGAAGACAGTTATGTCCTGGAATTTGTATTGATAAAGCCACTGGATGGCGAGACGTCTACAATAAAGATACCCAGATGTTGCACATGTGTCTTAATTTCATCTTGTCGGTATTATATACCATTCTTGCACAATTATTCATTTTGGCGAGTACTCAACTCTATAGTTACATCTCCCCTTTCCCGGTTAATGCATTCTCTTATTTTCGAGACTTACAAATCAATACATCAAATATCGTTTTCCTCTTATCTTTACTTCACTGCTACACCTGTTGATTCTCATTTAATCATCTCTGTATTTGAAGAAGCTTGCTATGTAGGCGAAACGTTTCAGTCAACAACTAAGGTACCCAATTTTTCTCAATTGGTAATCGTTTACAGTCAGCTCACGTGCTCATCAGTTAGTTCAGTCGACTTCACTCCCTCCTAGCCATGTGGGATTATCATACCTATTCTTAAAGCTACGCATGGAGCCTGTCTTAACCACTTCTTTGTTCAGACCATTCGACTTCCCGGGATTGATCATCGTGAACTCTTCATTGTTGTTTCCGGAATTCAATAAGCCCACATTTCTCTTTTTATAACTGACTCACCAAAAAATCATCATATAACATCGTGTTCATTTAGAACAAGGTCACAACAGGGTCGGCACCTGGTCACAACAGCGGGACCAAATATCAGCGATACAAAAACCTCACAGTTAGCTCAATTATACGGCTTAATAACCATAGCGGTATTGAGTGGTCATGTCAGCAGTACTGTGAGTCATGTCAGCGGTACCCCATGGTCACACTTCAGTATTGGTACTGCTTGGCCTTGTCACCAATACCGCTTAGTCACGTTATTTTTATGGGTAACCAGACGATATAGTGCAAAAGTGGCCGCAATTTAAAACGCTTTACTGAGAAAACTTTTCACCCACCAGGTATCATCACTTCTCACGGAGATAGGCTAAAAAATTGAAGTCCTAGAAAGACGAAACTTCTCAAAAAAATATCATAAACCTTCCAGGTCAGTATACAACATCACTAATATATAAATGTAGCTGACCTCCTGGAACGATAGCCATCTGTCGGAGGGAAGAGTATTTGCATCGACATGAAGACTCACCTGAGAGTTGAGCCAGCTTTTCCACGCCCGAGGTAGGCTTGGTGTCACGGACCGCAGTAACAGGGTAAACAATAGGTACTACCCTCACCCCACCCTTAGTCACCACAGCGCTCATCTGCCTGATATCGTAGGGCGAGAGTGGCTGAGGTGACCCGGAGGTCACTAGAAGAATAACCCCACCAGCCGAACTACCGCTACTCTTAAGCATCTGAAATGAAAATATAATGAATAATGCCTTCCAAAATCCATAAGGTGTTCTCTGGTCAAGACTGACCTCTAAGCAGTTTTTTTTTATCAAGTCTAGTGAGAGCAAAACCTGTGTTATACTCACTTTTCCCCACATACCCACAAGGTGTTTTTAGCAAGGATATGACCTAAAACTTTCCACTTGTTCATCACTATAGAATCAGCTGAGGATGATAACAGTCAGTATGGTGAACAATAAAGCTGAATCATTGACAAAACGAATCAGTTCCTTAAAAGACTGATTTGCAAAGTTTTTACAAGCACAAGTATCTTCTATATAATAGCCAGTAGCTGGTAGTGTACTAGCGTTGTTCCAACTGTTATGTAGCCTACGATACAGTGACCCAATAATACAGCCTATGATACGGTGACCTAACTATGCACCCTACAATACAGTGACCCTAAAACACTTCATTAAAGCATTCATTCATCCACTCAGACAGCATCATAATCATGTCAAAAATGTAATTAATAATTTTTTTGGGTTAAATGTTAATTTCTGATGTTAACATTTGGGTGCTGCACATGTGGTAGTTTACCGAATCAAGAAGTTGCGAAGACACAAGGAGAGCTCATACTAAGTGATCAAAATCATCCCTTTGTCTAAAAAGTATTTCTGGAAGTGTAAGCAAAAACCAATCACTTCCTGGCTCATCTGGTCTTTAGAGTGAAAGATGGAGGATCCTTGTGTAGATACATTGATTTTTAACAATGCGTTGAAAATGGTATAAAATACCAACAGGTTGATGGTAAAGACACATGTGCAGCAGTTACGTATTGTTGGAACTGTTGCACATGTGTCTTAATCATCAACAATACTGTGTCACTTCATTTATATGCTAATTACACTGCGTGGTACCATGGCACTCCTGTACATCATCCTTTTCAAGAATGATGCTTTCATGCTGGTGATCCATGGAAATGGAGCTCCCTCTCCTCTCCTTTCAGTCAACCCTTACCAATGTAACACTGTTATGAATATTACTTCGTCTGTTTTTCCCGGCGTCTACCATGGTATAAACAGACTCCTCGGCCACATTCTTTAATACCTCCAAGTCATCACAATCAATCTTGGGTTTTTCACGTGCCTCCTTTTTATTCTTGCGTTATATATCTCACTCGTGCACAAACTAATAGTAACATCACTTAAATGAAATTCTGGCCTTTCTACCAAAATATAGAGGACTTTTCAAGTTAATCCTAAATAAAAAATGAAAAGAAAAATGGTTTACCAATTAAAAGTTTGGAAACATTGGCCCAGCTCCTCATTACTCACCACGACAGCTTCTTCGAGACCACAGATGATGCACCTCTGCCCCTGCTGGGTGGTGGAGGGGTTGCGGGGCATGGATGCTGTGGCCAGACGCTGCCGCTCGTCCAGGGTGGAGGGCGTGGGCGCCAGGGGCAACTTCGTTCTGGCCTCCTCGTTGAAGAGCACTACGCCTACTTCACTGCCAGCCGGCACATCGTACACCAGCAGCTTCCTCACAGCCTTGCGTAGGAACTCCCAGCGCTTCTGTGGGAGGAGGCGAAGGTGGAGGTAAGGGTTGCTCTTGTTATAGGTGAAGTCAAGGGTTCCTGTTATTTTGGGTGGAGGTGAGAGTTGATGTTATAGGTGAAAACAAGGGTTACTATTATGGCTGAAGGCAAAGGTTATTATTTGTTAAAGGTGAAGGCAAAGGTTACTGTTGTTACAGGTGAAGGAAGAGGTTACTGCTGTAATGGGTGGAGGCGAATTTGGATATATTGTGAGCGGCGTGGGATACTATTGTTTAGGTGGCGGCGAATGCTGCTGCTGCTGCTGTTGTTTATTAGGTTTTACAAACTAGGAAAGTTACTGAGTTAAGACTGCTTATAAACACTGACCTTGAATTCCCTGGAACACAAACGAGTGGAAAAATCTATGCTGTGAACACTGTTATTACAATAGAAAAGATATTTGTTTGGTGTAATTTACCTGAATACTCAAAGTCACAATTTCAAGTGACCCCCATCGGGTACAGAAGTTCCATAACTTGTGAAGTATTTCCCAGATTTTCGATTTATTTCCGTGATATTGTAAGTGATGTTATTGCTTTGACAGCTTCAGTGGGTAGATTATGTACATTACTCTGGTGGCTCTGGTGGCCTGGTGGTTAACGCTCTCGCTTCACACGGTGAGGTCCTGGGTTCGATTCCCAGCCAGAGTAGAAACATTGGACGTGTTTCTTTCCAACTGTTGTCTATGTTCCCCATCAGTAAAATGGGTACCTGGGTGTTAGTCGACTGGTGTGGGTCGCATCCTGGGACACTGACCTAAGGAGGCCTGGTCACAGACCGGGCCGCGGGGGCGTTGACCCCCGGAACTCTCTCCAGGTAAAACCCCTCCAGGTACTCACGCAGAAGCAACGTTTCCTATTCTGCACAGTGGATTAGCAAACTTTAGGCTTTGAATACTCTTATGTATTGCAAATATTTAGAAGGAATGTGTGGGGCATCAAAGGTCTTTGAGATCAATTTTGTTATGCTGCGTCAAATAAGTGTGAAATGTGTCCTTTAACCCACATTATATGCTAACCTAAGTGACCTAATTCTACTAGTTTTGTCACCTTCTCATTAACGTTTCTAAATGTTAGGATATTTTTCTGCAAGTGCAGTCTTTATGCTTGAATAACGCACGATATCAAGTTGATTGCAGGACTGGCCAAGAGCAAAGGCTACAAAGCTAAAAAAAATACATGCAGTTTTCTTTGGCGGGAAACCATCATCAGACCGATGACACCTAAAATATATGAGAGTAAGACATAAATACACAGAGACCAACATCACGCCACCAGCACTCATGTTCCGAGAGGCGGAGAGGAAAGGAGATACAACAACATCCAGGCTGGACCTTTGAAGCCGGAAGCTCGTCAGAGACTGGCTCACGGCAACAATAACATCCACATCCACGCCAGGGTGGTTAGGATGGTTGGCTAGCACATAGGTACCACTGGAGAGGATAGGTACTACTTCATAATTGAATAGCCTAAAAACAAAGAGGAAGAAATAGGTGATACAGGAACATCTTTCAGAATGTTGCGAAAAGGAGTCAGCAGTCCATCACTAAATCCACACACAGACTCACCAAAGTGATCTGCAGGGAGCAGGCGGGAGGAGAGGTGGTAGGGAAAGGCAAGGTAGCAGGTGTGAGGCGAGTCACAGGGGTGAGGGGGAAAAAATCACAGGTGTGAGGCGGAGTCGCAGGTGTGAGGAGAGAGTCACAGGTGTGAGGCGGGAGTCACAGGTGTGAGGCGGGAGTCACAGGTGTGAGGCGGGAGTCACAGGTGTGAGGCGGGAGTCACAGGTGTGAGAGTGGGGGATCACAGGTGTGGGAGGGGGGAGTGTCGCAGGTGTGGGGGTTAAGGCCACAGGTTACGACCACTGGCGACACTTTACATGAGCCTCGCTGCATACACTCAGCCTCACCACTGCCCCAGCCGCTCGTAAAAATTTAACGCCACTTGGGGGGGGTTTCGGGCAAGCTCCCTCCACGCTTCACTTGTTGGATTTTAACGATTTTTCCCCAATCTCTTTTCCAATAACTTTTTTTTCTAATCAAAGTTAATCAGTTTTCCTTAGCCCCCTCAAGAATTTAAAACAGATATATTTCGTTTACTACCAGTCTTATTCTTTATTCAATTTTAAGACAAAATCGCCAGGTTTATGTCTATCATATTCTTAATATTTTTTCCGGGTAAAACATCAACTTTTAGCTAGCGGAAAACATTTCATTTTCACTTCTTTTATCTAAGGTTCCACTGCGGGACGTGTCGGGGAATACACACGCGACCTTCATGGTTATGAAGATGAATATTGCAATGCCTTTGTGCGAAATTCCAATAGCGTAAAGGTGCTCCCAGGAATTACGTAGTGATGTTGTTCATCAATAATGTAAGCAGAGGGGATTGTGCAACGTAGTGTGTACTGGGCATGATAGTGGGAACTGGGCAGTGTACTGAGCAGGTGTGCAGAGCTACCCAGGCAGGGTTGTTGAATTGGAATGGCCGTGTTTCCCGCAGGAGGTGGAGAAAACGAGGGTAAAAGGGAGCACTAGAGTAAGTTAGAAAATATTGCATTATGTTTCTGTGAGTAATGTCACAACAGACGCCATCGTGTTCGGTGAGTAATATCACAAGAGAAGCCATCGTATTCGGTGAGTAATATTACAACAGAAGCCAGCGTGTTATGCGAGTAATATCACAACAGAAGCCAGCGTGTTCGGCGAGTAATATCACAACAGAAGCCAGCTTGTTGAGTAATATCACAACAGAAGCCAGCGTGTTCGGCGAGTAATATCACAACAGAAGCCAGCGTGTTCGGTGAGTAATATCACAACAGAAGCCAGCATGTTCGGTGAGTAACATCACAACAGAAGCCAGCGTGTTCGGCGAGTAATATCACAACAGAAGCCAGCATGTTCGGCGAGTAACATCACAACAGAAGCCAGCGTGTTCGGTGAGTAACATCACAACAGAAGCCAGCGTGTTCGGCGAGTAATATCACAACAGAAGCCAGAGTGTTCGGCGAGTAATATCACAACAGAAGCCAGCGTGTTCGGTGATTAATATCACAACAGAAGCCAGCGTGTTCGGTGAGTAACGTCACAACAGAAGCCAGCGTGTTCGGTGAGTAACATCACAACAGAAGCCAGCGTGTTCGGTGAGTAACATCACAACAGAAGCCAGCGTGTTCGGCGAGTAATATCACAACAGAAGCCAGAGTGTTCGGCGAGTAATATCACAACAGAAGCCAGCGTGTTCGGTGATTAATATCACAACAGAAGCCAGCGTGTTCGGTGAGTAACGTCACAACAGAAGCCAGCGTGTTCGGTGAGTAACATCACAACAGAAGCCAGCGTGTTCGGTGAGTAACATCACAACAGAAGCCAGCGTGTTCGGTGAGTAACGTCACAACAGAAGCCAGCGTGTTCGGTGAGTAACATCACAACAGAAGCCAGCGTGTTCGGTGAGTAACATCACAACAGAAGCCAGCGTGTTCGGTGAGTAACGTCCCACAGCAACAGACTCCAATAGCTCTTGACGCATCTCGCAATACATTAACAGTAAACGAGTACTGCACAGTAACCAAGCATTATGTGAACTGAAAGCCAGTAACACAACAGAAAAAAAAAATACAAATCATCAGACAATAAATATCGAGTCATCGGAAAATGACCAACATCTTAAATTAAAACTGATTAGATATTCCCAGAAACAAATTGATACTTCGCTGAAAAGCCAGCAATGCAGCGAGACAAAATGAATAATACATCAGAAGAAGAACACATTCTCAGTAAAGGAATAATGCATCACGGAGCAAATAATGCACCATCGGGAAACGAGTAAAGTATCACTTTAGCACGAGTAATCCATAAAGATAATGAGAAACAAGGACAAAAAAAAAGTAATGCATCACTAGAAAATGTGTAATAAATCAACATAAAAAGAGTAATAAAGTAATCACTTGACGGGGGTAATCGCTGGAGAACTATGTGCGTTAACACGCACTTTAACCAATTTAGAAGTAATTGAAATCAATTTAGATACCTCGTAAAACAATTTACAGTAACTGCTGTACGAAGGCAAATTAGAAAGTACCGAAAGTAATTTCAAGTTCGCAGAAAAACTCGGTGTGGTAGAACTCAAAACTGCAGTCAGTCAAAACAAACTGAAAAGAAACATTATTACCAAAATTTTCGCCAAAGAACTGCAAGCTACATCAACAATTGTGTTTGTAGCTACACTTGAGATGGAAGGTGGAGCAGTCACGGAAGGTAAGAGATACAGGAAGACCCAAATGTAAAATTCCAGGAGGAATTCATTGGCGAGAATGCAAAATAGGTGTAGCTAGTCAAATGAAACTAGACACCATGCAAAACGTCAAAGAACGAAGGTAAAGAAGCTACTGATGCGACCAACACAACGAGATTTGTAAGTCTTCACTGATATTCAAAAAATGGGAGTAGAGGCCTTTATGGAATCTAGTGTTTTTGTGTACAGCAAATCACTAATGTACTGGGCAACTATCGGACAGTTAAGAATTGCAAGCGTGGTATGTATAAATAAGTAATTGACTAAGCAAGGAACACCTAACCAGAAGCCACTATCACTGTCAGATATACTCAGCACAGTTCTAGAAAAACTAGAAAGCTTGATGGAGTACCTGCCTCACTAACCGGAAATGTTTTTATAACAGAATAATGAAGATCAAACAAGGACAAGTGTAGATTGCTTGTTCTTGCGCTGGGTTAACAATTAACCTAAAAATCAAAGATGAAACTAGACGTTTCGGTCCATTCTGGACCATTATCAAGTCGGTTTGAAACATGGTCTGATTTCACCTGCAATCTGTTAGTTGCTTAAGATTTTTCCCAACCACGGAATTGTAGCTTGTATTCTTTTGGGGGGATTGGTGTTATGCGGGTAGGGTGCCACGTGACAGTGTGGAAGAGTGCCATGTGACACTAGGACTAGTGGTGCCAGATGGTGGTGTCTCGTAGTACCGGGCGACCGAGAAGTCAACAGGAGGCTGGGTTACTCACCTGCTCATTCATGATAGCAGTGTTCTCGACGACGATGACATAGCGGGTGGGTGCCTGCCGTACGTAAGTGAAGACTGGAGTCACATTCATCGTCGCTTCTCCACTAGGATTACTGTCACACACACGTACACAGTATCACGTTAGTAAATAAATAGTTATTAATCATGGTTTTGGCATGCAAAAATAATTAGAAATGGTTGTTAAATATAAATTTAACATTTCGCACTTGTATTCACTGAAACTACTGTACGGTCACCGCTCACCGTTTCCGTAAGAAATTTATACATACACATACTATGTAAACCCCTTCTCCTGTATAGATTACTGAACGTAAAAAGAAAATCTTTCGCTTTTCATGTCACCCTGCCTCAGTGGGAGACGGCCGGTGCGTTGAAATGTATATATATATGTAAGGGGGAGGGGGGAGGAGAACAAGATCTGAAAAGCGGAAAATTCACAGACCCTAACTTTTAACAGCAGCATTTTTTTCTTTTGTAAGCCAACCATATTTTACTTAATAAAGAATGACATAAAATATTACTCGAGTGGTCTGAGAGGAGAATATTAAGGTTCACTTTGGGATAATCGTAAAGATTCCCGTGTGTGCCTAATATTCTTCTCTCAGAAGCTGATGGATCTCACTAACTTTAATAAAGGTGCTGGCCTTTTAGTACATTATATATATATATATTATATTATATATATTATATATATATATATATATATATTTATATATATATATATTATATATATAAAGCAACGAGATAAACCACAGTGAAAAAAATAGTGATCTAAATTTGAGATTTGAAGAAATTCAACAAATAACGTATATGGACTATTATTCTTTACATCATGGTAGAGTTAAATTTTCCATATTCTCACTAATGTTTCTGAGAGCTTTGCTATTTGCAGCCCAGAGTTCATATATGAAGAAATTCTGAATTATGAAAAAGCTATTGATCTAAAATACCCAAAACACTTAACTTATAAATCTCTTAAAATTCAGAAAATAACAACCAACATTATTCAACTAAAAACATGTTGGTTCTCCCTTACCATAAAAACTTGGTTGAAATTCCTTCTCTGCTTAAGAATTTTAATATCAAAGTTGTATTTAAAAATCTTTATACAGAACAAAAAACTTTTGATAAAAAAAAAAAATCCCCCCAAAATGCTGACGGTTGAGTCTACAAGATTTCTTGAAAAAAATGTGATAAAGTTTATTAAGGTTAAACTGGGAAAAGTCTTGAACTAATATTACAACAACGTAAATACAGCATTAGAACTGGACAAAATTCTAGTGTTCCGATTATTCAAATCAGAGATTTTAACCATCCAGTTAATTTTTAAAATGCTGAGAAAGTTATATCTAGCAGATTCAAGGTCTAGAGAAATATAAGAGAATCAATTTACTTAAAAACTTGTTTTGAAATTAATACGAACATTGCTTCAGGATGATACGAATTGGATTCATTTATAATTAATAAAATCTGGAAAGAATTTTAGATAGATTAGACAAGTTAAAATCTTAAAGCTTGAGTAGAATGTAAGCTGTGTTTGACTGGTCCTTGACTACCTACATCATCATAAAAAGGTCAGGTGTTGTAAGTTGAGCATGAGGTGTAATCTCGCCCTTATATACCTTTGTTGATCTTTCATTTATACAGTTCCTTGATAATGTGAGAAATCACGAAAGCGCTTGGAAGTTCACCATTCTTTACACAGTGGTTGTCCTGCATACATCTATCTATACATGATAATAAAAGTCTTTAATTAAATTTCAGTTTTGTGTCAGAAATTTCAAGCGAGTGTGCATCCAAAACTCATTCTTATTGAGAAACATTTACTGGCAAATGTTTCAATAATTTCGTATGCTAAAGTTTACTGAGCATTGACAGTGTCGCTTTGATAGCGTTATAATTTCCCCAGGTCCATTGCTTCCGACTGGCCTGAGAAGGTAAAAATTATTTTCAGAGATTTTCCTATTTTAGAAATGGGGGGAATGAGGAAAATGTATATTCTGTTTGCGAGCCGTAAGGAAAAATTTGTCCTTTACTTGGAGATCGTTCGTAAGATGATCAGGTGTGAGCTTTTGGTCATGTGACCGAGATCTTCCGTTGGTCTTCCGTGGAAATGATTTGCTCATTATAAATCGCAGGGAGGCGGTTAGCACAGTGCCTACACTTTAATGGAAGGTGTCTGTGTTGCAGTTGGGAGAGTCGACTGAACTGTGATGTTAGCACACTTCTGGCAAGGCAATGATTGAAACGACTGAGCTTCCTCTTTTTTTTCGGTGTGGGGGAGGGGAGAGGGGGGGGTCCCAACCCTAATGAATAAGATAATATATTCAAGATAAGAAATCAGTTCGTACACAAGTGTTCAGCGAATAATATATATGTCATTGATGGATTTTAAAAATACAAAAGAAGTGAATAATAAAAGAATGGAATTATGTTAGTTTTCGTGTGTTTACACACACGTCTTCAGAGGATGTGGCAAACAAGGTATATAATACCAACAAAAGTATATATAAAAAAGACGCGTCCATCGCTAAGCATCTTGATTGGTGATACACTTCACCTGTCAGGGGATTTAATATTGGATTGATGAGGTTCTTGGAGGGCAAAACGTTTTTTTCCATGAAGATACTTAACTTTTCACACGTTTCTTATATTCATCTCCAGAGAAACTGACGATATATGCATGCACATGCACGCGCGCGCACACAAACACACACACACACACACACACACACACACACACACACACACACACACACACACACACACACACACACAAATATTTCCCCTGTTATTTTTCAGCGTAAGCTTTCGTAAAGAGTACATGTGAGGAAGATAACGCACCTGTCGTAGAGGAAGTCCGGGTGTTGGAGTATAACCTGCCATACAGGACGGTGGTTGCAGAGAGCGTTATGTTTGGTGGGTGGAGAGGCCTGGTGCGTGGCCGCGTCACAGAACTGAGTGACGTGCGGCAGGTGGTGGACGTACATGAGGGACGACGTCACCTCATCGTTGTTGGCGGCGCTGGGGGTAAAGCGACACGTTGTTTCCCGGAAGTCGTCACAGGCCGGCCTGGGTGAGAGGAAGAGACGAAACAACACAGATTAAAAGGTTTTTTAATGAAATCTTCACAAAAGACACTTAAATGCTTGTACTTTTTGTTTCTAAGAGG